TAAAAAGAAAGAAAAAAAAAAAGAAAGAGACGAACAAACGTTTCGATCAAGAATTAGAAACATATTTACATTTATCCCTAATTTGAGCAAAATAGCTATGAAATATTTAAGTGCCTCAGCATCTTCCATTGAAAGTGAAAAAATTTTCAGCACTGAAGGTAACATTTATGAGCCGGCAAAAAATAGGTTATGCCCTGAAAATGATGAAATTCTCATGTTTTTGCATTGTAAAAACAAACTGTAAAACCCTTAAATTGTAATTTAAGGGTTTTACAGTTTAAATATTAAATTTTTATTTGTTTTATATTTGTTTTGTATTTAAACTTTAAACTTATGAAACAAATAAAAATTTAATTTTTCTTCTTAACCTATTCAATACTTTTTCTTATGTAAAGTTTAAACTTTATATTATACGTTATGTTATACTTATAATATGTATTGATGAAAGGAATAATTTGATTAGTAAAATTTTTTTAATATTCAGATTGTCATGTAATAAATAATAAATATATAACAGAAATTTATTAGTTTTTATTACTAGCATTGTACGTAACATTCTAACAAAAATACCAAAATGTAAAATTGGCCGATTATCGAAACCGATTAATCGGGGGGAATGGCCGATACCGATTAATCGGCTAAGTGGCCAATACGGCCGATTACCGATTACTTACCGATTAATTGGGGCACCTTTAGTAAATATCGCATAGCCAATACAAATTAAGTAAAAAATGATCAATTTCTCAGTTAATTTTTACTGACAGAACAAAAGATGCAGAGCACGTGGTCAAGGTCAATGTGGACATCATGGACAAGGTAGGAGAGGCATCTTTTCACTTCACGTTAATTAGCCTTTTGAGTTGACAGCTGATCTTGGATTTGTATTATATCTCGACATTATTGTAAATATCATGTAGCCAATCCAAATTAAGTAAATTATTTGTCTGGGTCATTTCTCAATTTTTACTGGCAGAACAAAAGACACGGACTTCATGGACAAGGTAGGACATGTCACGTACAGATTCTAGCCACGCTTCTAAAGACATTATACTAGGGTTGTCGTTACATCCGATGACATTATAATCAGGTTAAACTGTATATTGTTTGTGCAAAATAAAAAAATAATTTTAGACAATACAATAGCCACGATTATTTTTTTCAAAAATTGAAAATTTTCGTTAGTCATTGACAAAAATTCAACCTGGGCCGAAACACAACAGAAAGAAATTTCTACATAGATAGGTTAATTTCATTGAAAATGCATCGTGGTCAACCTCATGGACATGGCTAGCGAAGTCTGAATGATTGCACTCAAAACCAGTGATACCGAAGAAGATTGGAGAATGAGAACAAGACCTGCTTGAACGTCAAAGTGATTCCACTTAGTAGTGAGTCTCTGAGACATAGTCTTGTCTCAAATATGGCTTTGCCATTTTACTTGTTATATGAATAAAACTGTACTTGAAAATTTTAAAATGTACACAGAACAGCTAAAAGAAATTAAATGAGTATTTTAATGGATAAATAGATAGTTGTGTAAGTGCTCCCAAAACAGATGATACAATCATAGAGGATTAATCTACTTTGAAAAATATATAAAATCTAGAAACGTATTTGTACTGTTTTAATTTGTTAAAGTTATTAACTTTTTTGTCATCTTTCATCCATTTTTGATGAGAGAAAATAGGAAAACAAAACATTTAATAATGAACTTGAAAGATAGTTAAATTTTTTGTGTTGGTAATCTATCTTACCAATTTTTATAATTGAAAATTATGTAGACTAACTTTTTGGTATTTTACTTATTAAAAAACTACATGTTTAATAAAAGTTTGATTCTTTTCTAGATTTAGTCAACATCATGAATATTTCTAGTTGGTATTGTAATCTTATCTTTGTTTATACACTTAGTGGCCAAAAAATTAGAGATGCCTCTTATTTGAAAGTAAATCAGTTTGACAAAGATGTAGAGTGATGTAACAATGCAGAGTTGCTTATATAAGGTATGCTCAGCTTTGGACGACTTAGTTATCATGGAAGTTAATGTCAAAATGGGTAAGATGAAAGATTTAAGTGACTAAGAAGGGATGATCATCAGTGCAAGAAGAGCTGTTGTCAGCATCTCTGAAATGATGACTCTTTTAGGATTTTTTTGCCCAACAGTCTCTCCGGTGTTTAGAGAGTGGTAGTTGAGAAAAAACTTCAAGCGATAAGGACAATTCTGGTCAAAAAAGGCTGGTGAACGAGAGAGGTGAAAGGCAATTAGCACGCATAGTCTGCAGCAACAGAAGGGCAACAACACGACAATTTACAGCTGAATTCAATGCAGGCGCATCACAAAGCATATCCCAACGCACAACAAAACACACTTTGCAAAGGATGATTTTTAGCAGTAGGAGACCATCAAGAGTGCCTTTGGTATCACAGAAAAATAGGAAAAGGCTCCTGTTGTGGGTCTAGGAATGACAAAATTGGTCACTTGAGGACTGGAAAAAGTAGCCTGGTCCGATGAATCTCGTTTCCTGCTCTATCAGGCAGATGGCAGGATCTGAATATGGTGCAAACAGCATGAATTCATGGACCCCACCTGCCAAATGACAACTCTTCAGGCTGGTGGTGGTGGAATTATGGTGTGGGAATGCTTTCCTGGAGTGCACTGGGTCCCTTGATATTGATATTTGTGAACACACCTCTGAATAGAACAGCTTACCTCAACATCGTTGCCGATCACGTATACTTGTTTATGATAGTAATGTTCCCTGATGGAAATGGTCACTTTCAGCAGGATAGTGGACCTTGTCACCATGCTCAATTGGTCTCAAATTAGTTTGAGAAACATCAATTTTGATTCCATGGCCAGCTCAGTCACCTGACCTCAATCTTATGGAGCATTTGTGGGACAAAATCGAAAGATCACTTCAAAGCTTGGAAACTTGGAAATGCCACCATCCAATCTGACCCAACTTAGAGCTGCCATTATGTTAGCATGTTCCAACATTCCTCAGCAATGGCAACAGCAACTTTTTGAGTCCATACCAAGAAGAATATTGGCTGTGATCAGAGATAAAGGTGGACCAACTCGTTATTAGAGGGTGTCTCTAATTTTTTGGCCACTCAGTGTAATATTTCTCATTTTTATTTTGTTTCATTTAAAAATATTAGTCAATATTTAATTTCATTAATATCTTTTTTATTGCTTAATTTCTTCCTTGTTGTTAATTTAAATAACATGTTATGTGAACAAGGAAAAGTTTTAGTATTATAATATATACAAAATGAATATCAGTTTAACAAATCATGATTATAGAATATAAATGAATCTTGAATAATAAAAGGTTTATAAATTCTTATTTTTTAATAAAAATTTAATTTATAAATTCTGACTACAAATATGCAAAAATACTTAAATTCATTTTATTAGGTTCTGTCTTATATCTTCTTCATCTTTATTGAAGCTTATAAAACATTAATAAATATATATTTGCTCCTTAAAACAGTCTCACCAATATCATCTCAGTGACTAAATGAAAACTGAGTTATTGATTTAGATGATACATGATATACATTAATATTCAAAGATGTAATAAAAATTCTCAATAATTCAATAATCTACCAAAATTAAGTAAACATCATACCTGTACAATTTTTATTTAAATATTATATTAGAAAATAATTTTTTAGCTAACATATACATACAGAAAGAATTATTTCTTTGTTTTTCATAAATTTGATCTACAAAGATCAAATTTCATGTATTGATTATAATATACTTTTATATATTAGTACTAAAATTTTTTAAGTTTTGATTTTTTATCCATTCTTAAAGATTAATATTATTCATTAAACTTTCAAATAAATTAATTTTTAGTTGTATGCTTTTACTTTCCTTGCTGTTAGATATAACAGAGAGAAAGTATAGCAATTGGTCAAAAAATGACTCCCAGGAATTTTACACTTTTTGGAATTGAGACCTTGAAATTTTGAGAAAAGCAAAAAAGTTGAGGTTTTTTTTCTGTATGTATGGATGTTTGTGTAGGGGGACTCAATTCTGTTTACCCTGTTTGAAGCTTAATAACACCCATGCCTTCTGTCAAAAATTTCCAAAATTTTGCAGTGAGTTTTGTGTATTAGGGGGATTGATGCTATTAAATTTTGGTGATTAAAGGTTGAGAGGGTAGGGAGATAGAGGGTCGTGGGTTGTATCTGAAATGTGATGGACTTAATGAAGATTTTTCTGGTTATTAGCATTTACAATTTTCTATAAAATTCTTTTCAACCCTCAAAATTAATCTTTTGCCATTTTATAATACTTAATAACATAAAAAGTTTTTAAAGTAAAATCTTGTAACAGATGATGGCAAACACAATTTTAACTAATTGAATATCAAACTCAGCTTCCTTTAAAAGCAACAATTTTAACTTTCCTTCAATCCTTCAGCAACAATTTTAACTTTTTTGCCAGGAAAGTTATGCAACTTATTACTGGTTTTTTTATTATTATATATTGAGTCTTATTAAATGTTGCTACAGTTTACATCATGTTGTGCTTTTTTTTTTTTGCACAAAACTCAGAGAGAATTCACTTTCTGTGCAATATACACTATGTATTCAGAATATAAAAATCTTGTTTCTCAAATATTTTCATGAATTTATGTAATTTTTAAAAAAATATTTACTGTTAATGACAACTTTGTGTAAGATTATTTTAATTTTAGGAGTTGATTTATTCTTGTTATAAATTAAAAGCTAAAACTTTAAACTTTAATTTTTATAAGTAATAATAATTCTTAAATTTTTGTGTAAATATATAACTGATATTTTAGTTTTCTGTCTCTGTGAAAATAATATTGATGTTGAATTTATTATTATTATTTTTATAAATAATTTGAAATGATAAGAAATTGTTAGTTTTGCACTTTTTTTACTCTTACAAGTATTACTAATTACTAAAGTATCATATGAAATCATAGTAAAATCATAATTTTTTTTTCTGTTTAAAGGGATATAGAATGTGACAAACGAGAAATAGAAATAAATAGTGATCCTTTATTACCTGGATCCAGTCATCCACTGCCCTCAGATGATCACAATTATGATGTGCCATCAACCACTAGTGACACCTTATGTAGTCAAGGACAAAGTGCCATTTTATCTAGTACTACAGCTAGGACTACAAATGAAACCAAAGATAATTCAAACATCAATACCATTGCTTCCTCTGTAAGGAAATTGTTGAGAGGATCGTGCTCAATGAACTCTGGCATCAGGAAATCTGTATTGCCGTTGGAGGATCCGCTCGAAAAACCGCATATGGATATTCTTGCCGACGATATGGGTTCTTCGAGCGAAACCAACGAAGAAGAAGAGTACATGGAGGGATTGGATGATAGTTTACAAGAATGTCCTGTCGATCAAATAAGTAGTGAAGGATATGATCAAGATGTAATGATGGATATTAGTGCTCCGTTAACAGAAAAATCAATAGTAAGTATTTATCTTTAAAATACCATTATAGGTTATTTCAAGGAAGTTATGTTGCTAGATTAAACTGACATCAATAGTTAGTTTAATATAGCGACACAATTGTTAGTTTTATAAAGTTTGCAAAAATTTTTATCTTGAATTTAGTGTTAAATAAATTGATTTGACACATACAAATAAAACTAATTGTTTTTTTAAATTAGAGCTGAGTAAAAATAAAATATTATTTATTACATTTTTAATAATAGAGTTTTTATCAAATAAAATAATTTAACTTGAAACTCGACACTATTGAATTATACAAGAGTTATCCAGAAAGTAACTTTCATTTGGTTATTAAAAAACATCAGTACAGTGATAGGAATTTTACTGTATACAGCTTAAAACTACATTTTTGCACTATTTTTCAACATTGTCTCCAGCCAGATTTAAACACTTTACATAGCATGTTATAAGTTTTTGAATTCCATTGTTATAGAACTTTGCCATCTGTGATTTCAGCCATATCAATGATTAATTCATGAAGAACTGTGTGCAAAATTGTAGAAACTCACTAGAAAGTTCTGAACTTATGAATTGGCAATTCTGTCAAACATTTTCAACTATCTTCTGTACAAGTTCATCAGTTGCCATAAACAGCAGTCGCTTCTCTGTTCATTGTGGACATCTGTCTGTCCATTTTTGAACATAGTGCATTATTGCCTCACTCATATGTTCTCTGCACAAACTTTGCACAGTTGACAATGGATTTCAATAGCTTTACAGTTTTTGACCAACAAAAATTTTATGACTGAACATATCTCACAGCTGGCAGGATTTTAAATGGCAGCACACATTTTGAATGGCAATTGTGGGAGACAACAGAGAGAGGAATCTGCACTCTGCCATTGCTGGATGAATACCATCTAACTCTAAACTGTTGCCAAAATTTGTATCGTTATTGTTACTACTGCCAGTGCCAAATGAAAATTGAAGTTATTTTTTGAATAACTCTCATATAATGTTGAATATACAGCATATTTCTTGTTTAGAAGATTATTTATTTCACTTTTACATAATGCTTAGAATCTGGATGCAATTTTTGAGACAACTACATTTATCTTTTAATTTTTACATGTGGATGATATTGTATTTTGAATATAGCATAATGTGGAGAAACATAGTATAAAGATTTCAAAGATTGCAAATAAATTATTTATCATTTTCAAATAATTTTATCAGACAAAACACTTACTGCAGTTATTTTTCAGAAATGAAAGAATTGTTCATCTTAAATTTTTAACACAATCGAGATGAACTAATCATAATACACTTAATTTAATATTAAGTATCAATTAAAACATTCATCATAATTATGCTTTTACTTTTTTGTTGAAAAAGTATTGAATTTTATCAATAAAATGAACAATTTTTGATAAAGAATTTTAAAAAATATTCAGATTTATATATTTTTTTTTTATTCCTTGCAATCTATTGTTGATGATGGCTGCCCATTTGAAAAGTCTTGTATTATCTTTTAATATTCATATTAGTAGATTTTGTAATGTTTGAAATGAGAGAGAATAGAGAAATAATCTTTTTTTTTCACACAAGTTGTAGATATATTTCATATAAATAAAGTAAGAATTTATTTTTGGAAATTGTGTTTTCTCTGAAAATGAGGAAATATATTCTGAATTTTATAACATTTCTTGCTTGGATATAGTAATCAGTTTTGAAATATTGTTTTCTATAAACTTTGAGATATTATTATATTTATTCAGTGATTGAATATTGAATAATACTTAAAGTAAGTTAGGAAAACCAAAATAGAAAAGAAATTTTTTCAGACTGAATTAGTCCATCATCAGCTGTTCATATAGATAAAATATAAACAAAGGAAATGAAATGACTACCTAACTTTTAAATATTTCATGTGTAGAATTAAAATTTATGTGAAATTAAGCCTGTGCATAATAGTAAAAAATTTTCATTCGTATGCAATTTTGATAAGAAAAGGAACCAATTTTAAGTTACTGAATGACTAGTGCAAGCATTATTTGTAAGAGTGAAGGACTTAGCAGTTATGTTTTGGTCAACAAGTCCTTACCCCATGACTGTTCTAGTTTGAATCTCAGATTTTTTAAAGAATGTTTTTAAAATTTTATTTTCATTTTTTAATTTTTATTTTTGGAGGAAAATTGGATTACATTTTTCCACTACTAGTAAATTAGTCAACAGACATGAAAATGTTTGTTGACTAATTTACTAGTATATTTTTTATTTTATTGATGCTCTATTTTAATTACCCTCTCATTCCACTTACAGTATACTTTCATTATATTTTTACAAAATTCCTAACAGCATAAATAAACACTAACCACAAATAAGGAAATTGAAAACATTTTATTTAGGTGGGAGCTGGAGATGTCACACCTGTGTTAAAACTTACACTGATTTGTAAATGGAAAATCTAGATATACTCCTTGCGGTTTTCATTTTAACTGTTAATCACAAATACTTTCACTTTAACAACTTCCAAATTTTGTTTGTTGTTAATATGTGCCTTCAGCAAATTTAAGTTTCTTTGAACATGGAGAATCATCATTTACATCTTCAGACATAAAAATAAATTCAGTTGCAGGCATAGAAATACATATTTCTATTTAAACAACATATCTAAAATTTTTGTTTTTGTCTCTAAATTTATTTAAATATATTTTTAAACAAATTCAAAAATAAATAATTCAATAATGAAAAAAATATGTAATCTATCTTTCCTGAAAAAATAAAAATTAAATTATAAAAATATTCTTTAAAATCAATAATAGTCAAAGCTGGAACTTCACCAGTATATAAATACACTAAATACAATTTACACACTTCCAGCAACTAAATTTAATCAAAAACAGTGTTTTGGGCTGATTGATAAGCCTTTATTAAGTTTTTAAATAGAGATTCTTGACAAAGGCTTATCATTCAGGCCAAAAACATTTGTTTTGATTAAATTAGTTGCTAGAAAAGTGTGTAAGGTGAATTTTAGTGTCTTTATTAATTCTTTAAAAAATCTGAGATTCAAACACACAACAGTTATGGGATGTGGACTCATAGACCAAAACAGCTGCCATGCCATTCATTCTTATGTATATGTTTGCATTAGAGTATATAAATTCAATTACTAAAAAACACTTTGCCAACAATAAAAGAGAAGAAAATTGGGTTTTTTTTCCCTCCCTTGAACCTGCTTATGATTGAGGATTTTTGACAATTATGTACAGACTTAATTTTTACATAAACTTTTATTTTAAACATAAAATATTTAAAAGTTAAGTGGTCATTTCATTCCCTTTCTTTTTAGATACTATTTAAGAAATTAAATATATATAAAATTTCTTGTCCTGACTGACTGACTGAATGACTCACTGATTCATCATCACCCAGAGCAAACCGCTGAACCTAAAGAGGTGAAATTTGGTACACAGTTAGGGTACGTCATGAAAACGTACACTAAGAAGGGATTTTTTCGAAATTCCCCCGCGAGGGGAAGAGGGAGAGGATTAAGATCTAACCGGAAGAACAGCTTCTACTGTACTATTTTAGATGCAATTTTTTGTTTTTATCTGCATTTTAGTAGGGTATGCAATGGGAATGAACACTAAGAAGAGATTTTTCGAAATTCCCTGGTGGGGGGAGAGGGAGAGGATTAAGGCTTAACCAGAAGAACATCTTCTACTGTACTATTTTAGATGTGATTTTTCGTTTTCAACTACGTTTAATTTTCATTGAGTATTTAGATGTTTTAAATTGATAACATTTCAGACATTGTTATAAATATTTTTATCTATTTCAATTTAAAAAATGTTCGAACCGTTTTAAATTCTAATTTGTTATTGCATATTGGTTCGATTATAGAATGATTGTAAACGTTCCAGAAAATTTATCAAATTGAAAATAGTTTGTTTGATTCTTGACAGTTCTCATCATTGTCAGCGGTAGGTGTTATATAATTATGTGTTATAACAATTACTATGGTTGTTGAAATACTGAATATGAATGGGGTTTGCTTGCAAAATCCTCGCAGGCGAAGTCGCGGGTAACAGCTAGTAAAATATAAAATTAATAGTTGACTTTGGAATAAATTATATTTGAAATTTTTAGAACACAGTTAAAGAATGGAACACAAGTTAAAAGTTGACATTTAAAATAATTTACATTTAAACTCAAATTTTAGAATATGATTGAAAAGTGGAATACAATGTTTAACTTTTAGAATAATTTATTTTTGAATTTAGAAATTTAACATAAATTAAAATAAATAAGAATTTATTTATTTATTACTAAATGCACTGGAGTTATCCTGTAGACAAAAGATTTCCTCTTTTCAATAACAATACAAAATCTGAAACATAAAAAAAAATCAAGAATAATACAAAACTCATTTACAGTGGTGTTCATAGCAAACAAAATCTTGATGTAAAAGATTTTCAACATTGTGTATTTTATGTGATACATGATAAAGTATATTAAAAGTATAAATTATAATTTAAGAATAACTAATGTAAAAAGAATGTGATAAATCTGTATGTGATATATATTAACTTTAAGCAAACCAGTAATTTTGTACAAGTGGAAAAATTGCGTTATCTAGCAACCAGCTCAAAACTATGTGTGATTACATTTTATGAATGTTAATTACTGTTTTTTCTCAATTCTAAGGTGAATTATTTTACTTATTTTTATTTTATTTGAAATGGATGATGATATGCATCCTAGAATTGATGGTGTCTTCCATTAACAACCCAAAACAACAATTATCGCTCATCACAAGTATATCGCTTATTGTATTATGTACCATTAACAGATGTTTTTGGCTATACTGCTCAATGATTATATCAGTTCAAATGAACTTTGCTGGTAATGTTAAGTTCTGCAGTGAAGGAAAAGAAAACGCTGATTGTCAATGAAGATTTGATATATTTGATATCAAATTTCATAATTGATATATTGATTCTGGTACATCAATTACTATGATGGATCAGAAAGACTTTGAAGAATTAATAAGTAATGAAAACAAATCATTACAGCAGGTGGATGGTAGTCATTTCCAAATAAAAGGAAGAAGTATTGGCTTACTCTTTGTGTATGAATAGTAATAATGAAGTGTCTACCTAAATATATTGGTCATACAACTTTTAGGAGCTCTACAATTTTACAATACTCTGCTTCATTCCACATGTGAGTAGCACCGATGTCATTCAAAGCTAAAATAATGTATTATTTTAAGTATACAAATCTTTTTATCATTTTTCCATTGTTGCAAGATTTCTCCCTATTGTAGGGAGAATTGAATGCTTTTCAGGCATAGGGAGATTTTTTTTTGTCTTTGTAGTTACTTTTATGAAACTTAGTATTTAACAATATTCCCATTTTATGTCAGAGATGATTTTTTGTCAAAATGTTCATGTTTTTAATCAAATAATTGATTAATTTTTATGTTTAAGTCTAGGCTCAAAAACCAATTTTTTAAGTTGAGAAAGCCCAGTTTAAAAATATATAAATTTCTTCAAAAAATCAGGTTTTAAAATTGACAAACCCACGAACAATTATATTAATGATTTTAAAACAGTTTTAAAAAATATCAATAGTGTATTTTAATTGTTGCTTAACTCATATTTATTTCACTCAGTATCATTTGTTATAAATTATCAAAAATAAAATTGTCATATCAAGTCACTATATAAGTTAGTTTGGGAACTGTGTTAGACAGATGATGCATAATACAAATACAATGTAAATATATATTTAAGTTTTTAAATGAAACTTATATTTAAATGTTAAATGCAAAAAACTTACAAGAACTGTGTTTATTAATTAATTGATAAACTATCTTTTTGTATATTTTCTAAATATTTCCTCTGTTTATATTTATAAAAATTTGTTTTTTTTATATATTTTTGATTTCTAAAATGCTAATTTTATATGTCAGCAGCAATTCTTATGTCAAAGTCACCATGTATTGCAAGTTCACTGTGTATGATGATGAAATTTTCCTAACTAGACAAATTATATGACTTTCTAGGAAAATACATGTAATAAGCATTTTATAATGATTTTGTAAAATTCTCTTATTGTGATGCATGCATTACATATTTCCTACTTATCATAGTGTGTTTCTCATTTCTTATTCTTATCACAGAGTTATAGATATAATATTTCTTTTAAGCCATGATATAGTATCACATTATTTCTTATTCTCATCTTTTCCTTTAAGTCTATAATCTGTAGTTTCTAGAAGTTTCCATCTGTAAGGTATCATTCCCTAACAAGCGACAAGCTCTAGTAGGTTCAAAAAGTGTCCTTGCAGTCCACATTCTAATTTTGATAATATGGTTAACTCCCAAGAATAATTTTAGTTAGCTTTTTATAGAATGCTTTACGATGTTCTCAAGTGGATCCGAAATAGATGAGAAACAATTCCTGTTATGTGTAGATTTCAGAAAAATAGTCTTTATTTCTTTAACAAAAACATTTTTGTATGAATGTGTTATTAATTCAACTCCTTTAGGTTATTTATCAAAACCATTCTTAGTCAGCTGAATGTACTGTACTTTATCTGCTGTCTGAGGATGCGATTAATGCAATAGGAATTTCAGGATTAATTAGATTCAATATAAATTACAGTAGAGCGTTGATTTTCCAAATCAATTGGGAACTGGGGTTGTCCGGATAACTGATTTACGTACGAAAAAATAGTTTAACGTATCCATTGCGTGTTGCTTCGCATTGAATTTTTGTCAATGTTAAGCCTAACAAAGACTATTGTATAAAAATTATTTTTTTATTTTGTACAAACAAAATAAATATATTGAAAAATATAAAAATAAAAAATTATACTTCAGATGTTAATTTAGTATCAAAAACGTAAAATATTTGAGTAGCCCAAGACATAGCCAAAGATTGAAGCACCACAGCACTGGCGAAAATTTAAATTTGCCGACTGGAATTCTTTTGGATGATTGACTTTCGGAAAATTGACACTCTACTGTATTCTCTAGGAGATTAATATAATATTTTACACTGCATAGTCAGTTTATTAAGTATCCCATTTTATTTCAGTATTATTTACGCTCAGATGTATAGTAAGTCCTCCTTAGAGGATATCAGGTGACTGTGGGTAGACCTATTACATAACAAATAGACATGCATCTAGCAGTTAAATCACTTATCGTTTGTGACGAGAATAGATTAAAGCAAGTGATTTAGATGAATTAATAATTATAACAGTAAAATAATAAATAAAAAATTTTATGTAGAAATAATTCTTAAAGGAATTAGCACAAATTAGAAGCTTAAGTAGGGACAAAATAAGACATATCACTTGAGTATGAATATATTTTCATGAACAGAGTGGTAGCAGTAATGATAAGTTTTCAATAGCAGTACCTTTTGCTCTTTCACTATTTAAAAATCTGTAAAAATACAATTATTGTAGAATTAAAATTATAAAATAGAATTATTTCATGCAAAAGTGGAACTATTAGTTTGGGGACAGCTGCATATTGTGGGCCTTGGAATACCATATTTGTAAATATGCAACTGTAGTTTGTGGCAGTTCTGTGGGCAAGAATAGTTTGTTGATGAAATAGGTAATAGAAGGATGGCATGAATTATGCAAGGAAACAGGATGATTACCATTGCACAAATTATAGTCCAATACAATAGTGGTATGACATCTTTGATCAAACAATTTGTTGCATTTGTGTTGGATAGACTACGGAAGTAGATTGCTTTTCCTAAAGCCTTTCTGAGACAAGCATTATATATTGAGCACTCTCATCAGCTAAAAATAAAATAAGACCTCAGAAAAACATTTGAATGTCACAGTATTGTAATTGTTGTTATTAATTAACTGCTTCACTCTATGGTTGCAGTATGTTCCTCGGTGCAAAGTGTATTTCCAGCAGGACATAATGTTGTGTCATAAAATAGTTTTGTAGTACATGACAGTTTTCTCAGAATTCAAGCTTCAACTCAACTGTGCATCCATAGGATGATATGGGAACAAGCAGTTTATAAAAATATGTGTCACTGTTCAGTATACAACAACTGTATGATGCCATTGTGTCAACATAGACTATGATTCCTGTGGAACACTGTCAATATTAAATCTATACATTCAGGCTGTCCTACAGGTCAGAAGAGAATTTGTTACTACTATGGGAATGTATTTAATAAAGTGGCTCTTTAGTATGCAATTATCTTCATTAGATGTTGATGACAAGGTATATTTAAAAATACAAAAGATAATCAAATAATAACTGTAATCCGTTAATAAGCTTTTGTTGGAATGAGGCTACCTAACAAGATGGCAGAAGCAAATGATGCTATATTGGCATTTGCAAACCTATTTTGTCAAAATATTTTTGGATTAATACAGATGAGTAGTAAAAATGGTGTTAATGATATAACCATGGAGGAGGCTGTATTGCTTCATCAGAGTTCACCATATCTACAGCCTGATGAGTGCAGTGCAGATCAGTCACTCCATCTATGAACTCATTGATGAATATCAGAACACAGTACATCACAGTTCACTAATTCATTGTTTGATGCATTCTGGAATGTACCCAATCTTATAAAAGATCAATTATAACATTTTGATTTTGTAATTGTAGATTTTGAGATATATCAATATTTTTAAATTACAGATGAAAAGAAAATCAGAAGGAAATATTGACAGTAGAGGACATTCTCCTGGTAAAAAACCTTGTACAACAGCTGAAATTACAGGGTATGTAAACTGCATATTAACTTTTTTCTTTTCTTGAATGTTTTTGCATTTAAAATTTATTATAAAAATTAAAACCCAAAATTCTGTTTTGTTGGAGTCTACAAGTTAAAAATATATGAAAGAAATAATTAATTTTTTATGCCAGATTCTCATCATATAAGAGTTTAAGAGCATTTGATATAAATTTTAACGTTAATGTTAAAATTCATATCAACATTATAAAATTTGTTTTTATTTCACCTGAAGAAGACATTTTATACATGCCGAAAATGCTTGTGAAATATTGTTTGTGTGTTTTATATCAAAACATTATTAACACTGATAGACAGTGCTCTTAAACTTTTATATGTTAAAAAAAAATAACCATTTTAATGTGGTTCAATAAAACAGAATTTTGGATTTTATCAGAGATGAGTTTGAGTATATTCATGGTTTTTAATTTATAATTAATGAAAATAATTTTCAATGATATAAATATTTGATCTTTTTCTAATAGATTAAATGGCTGTACAAATTTTGGTGATGTGTCACAAGACAGTGGTATTGTCGAACCTGAAGGGGAAGTTGAAGGTGGACATAATCATAAAAATATTGAAACTCTACACACTGGAACTGTTAAAAAACGCTTAGGAACAAAAATGATTCCACCACCTGAATTAGATATTTGGTTAACAACTTTTCAGGTAAATTTTCCAGATTTTAAAACAATAATATAATTAATTTTGGCAGTTTTAAGTAACAATAATTTTATTTAAAAATTTTTAGTCATGGACAAATACAGAAAGACTTCTAGCATTAAATCAGTTAATTGAAGTTTGTGAACCAACTCAGGTTCGACATATGATGAATGTCATAGAACCACAATTTCAACGTGATTTTATTTCATTACTTCCAAAAGAGGTAATTACATGTTTAAAAAATATAGATTAAATTGTATTTTAAATAAATTTTCAGTTAAAAATTTATATTTTAATAAGAATATTTATAATAATAAAAGTTTTGAAAGTTGCTGGTAAATAATGTGACAAATATAATTCAATATTTAAAAAATATTATTATAATGAAACCATATTCTTGGATAATCACAACTTATTTTTTTAAGAGGAGAAAAAATGTTTTATTTAATTACTTTAACATTTCAAATTTACATTTTGGAGTTGATCAGTAGACTGATCGACTCCAAATGCTGACAACAGTATATTGACTGCATCAATGTACTGCTGTCAGCATTTATTTTGAAATAGCTGCAGAAGTAACTTTCTAAAGTATTCCATAGTTGCTATCATATTATATGTTATAGCTTATATTATAGTTATTATAGTTAGGTTAATATTTTAAGTAACAGCATAATGATGGCTCTTATTGTTGCTTAAGTCACGGGGAAACATGTCATAAAAGAATAAATTTATAATATATGTTGTATATAACAATTTAGTGGCTTGATACTATATTGATATTATGTTTAGTACAAAATCACTCTTTAAAAGTTAGAGGGATAATATTGTATGCAACCTCACGATATTATGAAGGAAAAATTATTTCCTCAGTGTGCACAACTCCGAAAAATGACAAATAAGGCTCAGGTGTAAATATTATAATATATTTATACAGAAATATTTTGACGAAATTGCTACATTTTTAAAGTGATTTTGAAAATTTAAAAAGAGAGCATTACATAAAAGATTAATTGATTGGCCAATTTATTTTTAAGAAGAAAATTATGACTTTAGATACAAAACATTGTGAAATTTTTCACAAGGTTTATATATAGCAATGCAGAAGAGCCTCAAAATAAATGTTGACTCTGCTATGTGACTTTGCTACATTTCTGAAGTGTAAGAAAGACAAATTATGAAATTATTTTGGAATGTTTTTGTGAATTTTAATTATATTGGTATAAATTGAAGATACATGTAAAATTAAATTCATTTCATATGATCATTTAATTATATATGTGTGTTTAGTTATATGTTTGTTTTTATGCTAATTTTGTATGCAATCCATTTAGCTTGTTTACAAGCTAAATGGATTGCATACAAAATTAGTCCTGAAATAAATTCAGTGGAACTTTAATTTCAAGTTAATGAAACAAGTTATCAAAATTGTTTTGACTTGTAGACATACAAAACACATTGAGTCTGGGCATTATGTTGGGGGGAAAAAATATTTGACTTACCAAAAGTTAATTATTTTATTTCTTCTTACAAAATCAAAATGAAAGAAACAAAACAATTTGATAAGAAACAATTATTTATTAATTTTGGATTACATAAAAAAATATTTAGTCAATTAAAAGGACTTTCAAGTTTTTTAATAAAATGATATTTATCTAAATCTTTATCACAAGTAATACATAAAAATCACACTTTTGTACATAATATTTATGCTATCACTATTGTCAAATTATTAATAGGAAATTATTTCTTACAATTGATAAATATGCTGTTTAAAATAAAAAATCATAAATTCAAGTATATATTTTTTTAAATATAAAAGTGGAAGGGAAAACAATATGCACTATTGGGAATTACTATTCTTTATAAGCTACCTGTTTCCTCATTTTTATTATATAAAAGCAATAAAAAATCCTTTCGTTGTTTAAATTTTCCAATTGTTTTGATTAAAAGTTTCTTGCATTATACTAGACGGTGAAATGTTTCCTATTTTTATATCATGTTTTGTGTTTGCACTTAATTTCTGGATAACTGTCTACTATTTTGTTTTTTTATGATATGAAAAGAAATTGCCATTGGCCACACTATAAAAATTGATTCTCATAGATAACAATTAGCATTTCTGACTAGTCATGCATATAAATATATGGAAGAAGAAAAATTATGATAGTATGTACTCCATTGTCCTTCATTTCATCACAGAAACACAATAAAAACATCACTGTGTCAGCTCTTCATTATAAATTTTTTTCTCTGGGGTAGTGAAGGATGTAAAATAGATGTTACAGAAAGTTTTTTCTTGTATTTTGTCTTCGGTATTATTATTTATAAGAAATATTTGTCTTAGAATTACTTAAAACATAATACTTTTTAAAAAATTCTACTGTCAGAGAGATTTTTAGCAGTATATTTTATTCTGGAGAGAATCTACAGAAAATATTGAAATATTTCAGTTGCATTGCTGTATATACAATGAAGAACATGGAGTAGACAGCACAGGAATATTTTTACGTATTATAGTCATCATCATTAAAGATATATTTAATGTTTGTCTCATACATTTTTTGTAAATTTAAAATAAATTTTATTTTCATTTCAGTTGGCCTTATATGTATTATCTTTTCTCGAACCACGTGATTTACTTCGCGCAGCTCAAACTTGTCGTTACTGGAGAGTACTTGCAGAAGATAATTTGTTATGGAGAGAGAAATGTCGAGAAGCAGGTATCGACGATGTGAGGGAAGTATTAGGAAGACGTAGGGCGAGAAGCAGCAGTAACAGTGGAACGACAGGATGTATTGGAAACATTACTCCCTGTCCGTGGAAGGCAGCATATATGAGACATCACAATATTGAAATGAATTGGAGATGCCGTCCGATTCGACCACCAAAGGTAATGATATATTTTTTCATATTCAAAATTTATTTGTTTAATGGGAATTAATAATTTTGGTGAAGTTAAAATACAAATCCTGACAGTAATTTCTGACAAAATTAAAAATAGTTAAATAACATTTATACTGTTTTGATCAAAAGATTATATTTTCAAAGTACTCTGGAGACATGTTTCTATAGTAATAATTTGTTATTTGTGAAACTGTTTGGCATATTTTCTTATTTTAAAGTTTTCCAAAGCATTTTCATGAGAAAGGTTTCTCATGAAAATGCTTTGGAAAACTACTGAAATGAAATCTCTGATTAAACATTGTTTAAACATATCCTTATGCTTTGATTAATATTTTGTAATTAAAAGATTTGAATAGTTAAAATTCTTTTAAAAAAATAGTGTGAATACTAAATAAATATTGAAAATTTCATAAACTAGAATGAGGATTAATCATAATTGAATTTATAATCTTCCTAATTCTGGTCTAGAGATGTTTGTCTATTATTTGATGATTTTTTAATGTTTGTCTGGCTTGTTTCATTATTCTTTTGATTATTAAAGTATATTTTAGTATGTAAATGCTTGTACAACAGATCAAATTTTACATATTAACAATATTTTTTTCTTTAATTTAGAATAGAAATCATCAAAATATAAAAAATAAAATGTTTTCTTGTATAATAATAATTATATTAGTTTAAAATAAAATTTAATACATTAAATTTTCAGAATTTGATGTTTCAAAATATTCAAATTATATAAGTTTTAGTTCAAAAGCTCAAAGAATAATTGAACATCTTTGAATTACCTTATCATCATAGTCTAGAATTAAAAATACAGTAATTTTGGTAGGGTGGTAAAAAGTATGTTATAAATTGAAGATAATTTCAAAAACTTTCATGAGACAATAAAAACTAACAACATATATATAAAACACCAACTGAAATAAGCATTAAAAAGTCAAACTTAAAAGTTTTTCATGGATCTTTCTGAATATCAGTTTGATTATGATTATTTTGAAGTTATTTATTTGAAATGTATATCCTAGATTAGTACTGCAGTGGTCTCTTTTTTCTTCAAAGAATAATCTAATTATTTGGCTTTATATTCAGTAATTACTCACACACAGTGTTCTTCGTATCTGTTTTATTTTTTCCTAATGTTAAAAATATTCTTTTCCTTATGACCTTTATTAGTAATACTGATTTCTTTGACCAAATTTATTCAATAATTTGTCACAGTCCATGGAATCTTTATTATTTCTTTAGTTCAATTTCTTTGTGAATTATGTGTTCAGCCAAAGTCATAATTTTTACTGTTTTAACACCTTATCAGCATTTCTCTAATTTCCTTCTCAAAGATTTCTTAATATTTTTTTGTTTTTGTTATATGTGCTGCTCACTTTTCAAACTGATTAACTCCATAAAACAAAAAGTGGAGAAAAGTGACAAAGTAATATATGTTCTTTTTTAAAATTCCTTGTAAAATGTAAATTCAAATAAACATTGTAGAATGTATTATTGTAGATGTAGCTTTTATTTAACACATATAAAATGTATAAGATAGCATAGATATGCTATAATTGTTATTATTATGATTTTGGTGTGATTTGGAGGAGTTAATTGATTTGGCAAGTGAAAAACATAATAACATCATATTCAGTCCTCACATTAGTGTACATTTTTTAAAGATTTTTCGCAAAAATGAATAATAACTATTCTGTTACTGTTACAATGGTTAACAGTAACAGAACGATTAGAATGGTTAATTTAAACAAAATAATAATAATTTTGTTTAAATTGATTATTCATCATCATAAATGATGTCTTTTTTTTCCAGCTATATTTGAGGTCCCTCATGTTGATTTGTTCTTAAATTTTTATAAGAATCATGTTTAATACGAGGAATGAAAAAAATTATTTTTAGTTTTATCCATCTTGATATAACAGGTATAACTTTTCTTTTCTCTAAAAACAATTGTAATCAAAATTAAAACAATTGTTCAATATTCCACAAGTATACTTACTTCTGTGGCAGTTGGACTATAACTAATTTCTTTTACTTACTTTTTGTGATGAGATAACATTAAATAATTTACCAATATCTACAAAGCAGTGGTCAGCACATGCTGCAGCATTGCAATCTCAGTGTGCGCTGGCAGATTAACGTTACAGTATTGAGTTATTTAGATTGGCTTCTGAAATAAATGAAAATTTTTTCAACGGCCAATAAAATTTTGTCACTAAGTGGTATTGATCCTTAGTATTAGGAAAACTTATTAGGAATATAAAAATCTATGAGTATATCAAGTGCTTTCACACTAAAATTTTAAAAAATTCAAAATGTGGAGTTAATCAATTAGGCTTGTGAATGGCTCATTTATTGGAATGACATACATTTCTGGAACAGCCTGGCTCTGTACCTTAACTTTCCCATTCCTGAGTTTGTCAATTATATTATTGATCTTTTTCTAAATAGTTCTTATAAATCTTGATTTTTTTTTTTTTGAGATCTTTATGGTGCCTTATATCTTTTCTAGCTACTAACTTTTAAATTCTTGTTGTTTCTATTTTCTCTTTCTATTGATGGCTTCTTTCATTTTTGATTCATTATTCAAAACCTCAATTATAAAGAAGTTTCAATAACAAATACTTTCTGGTTGTTTATGCTGTAAGGTCAAGGTATTGCCTTGACCTTACAGTTTTGAGAAGTTCAGTTTCTAGAGTGGAGCCTGCTTAATTTGAACTTTTTTATGTTTTATGATTTATGATTTTATGATTTATTTAATTTTTTATTATTATGTTTTAATTGAATATTAATCCTGAATATTAATATAAAAAAGAAATACATTATTTTGCAGGTATTAAAAGGGCACGATGATCATGTCATCACTTGCCTACAATTCTCGGGGAATAGAATAGTTAGTGGTTCCGATGACAACACACTTAAAGTGTGGTCTGCCACAACCGGAAAGGTATGGAAGTTCTTTAAAATGTTTTAATATGAAACTAATCTATTCCAATAACAAGTTTATTAGTTGTATTTGCATTTCATAAATATAACAAAATAAATATTTTAAATACTTAATTAATTAATTAATACCCAGCTAGATTCTTTTTAATTTCCACAACACCTTATCTCTCTCAGAATTATATATTAACTTTAACAAACATTTTCAACCTGTTCTCTAGGCCAGGGGTGGCGAACCTACGGCATGCGTGCCCACAGTGGCACGTAACGTATCGTACGATTTTAATTTATCGATTGTCTTTTTCAATCATTGTTTCATTTATTCTAATTAAAGCATTTTCGTTTAATTTATTTAAATATTAATTGGTAATTAAAACTCACTGTGTTTAGCGTTATTAATAGTTTTTCATTCACTCAAGTGCTTTCGACGAATATATTTCCATTGTCTTCAGGTGAATAAAATGTTTTAATCGAACACGACCGTTCGAGAGAAGAACACATATAAAATTTAAAATTGAATAATTTTTCGATATAAATCCGCTAAGATTTGAATTATGTGCGATGTTACAAATGTGACAAAACACGGCGCATGCGTGATACTGCTTCCTGTCAGTGACGTGACATGTGATGTAATTCGGCGTTTAATCGTTTGTATAGGGCGATCCATATATTAGGCAGCTCCAGAGTAGGCGTGTTTCACGTTTCAAATGTTGTATATAGTGACTCCCATATAAAGAGTAGTCTTCGGTCGTTGCATGTCCTGAGTATAGTGGAGTGGGCCCATGGGTTATAATTCATATCGCATACCCTTCTTGTGTGTTCAGTGCTGCACCTTCTTGCAACATTGCAACTTCCACTATACTCAGGGCAACGACCGAAGACTACTCTTAAACGATTAATAAACCAGGATTTCTCCCACACCGGGTCATATACAACAAATATGTGTAGTCTTTAACCAATATCCAGCGTGAAAATTCCAAACTAATATTGGCAAACGCTTTTGATGCCCCTCCTGGGCTCTTCTTCAGGCCAAATTTAATATACTGGATTCTTAAATCGAATATTTTTATATTCGAATATATTTTTAAATATATTTAAAAATATTCTATTTAAGAATCCAGGATATTAAATTTGGCCTGAAGAAGAGCCCAGGAGGGGCATCGAAAGCGTTTGCCAATATTAGTTTGGAATTTTCACGCTGGATATTGGTTAAAGACTACACATATTTGTTACGATTAATAACGCTAAACACAGTGAGTTTTAATTACCAATTAATATTACTTGGCGTGAATAGCATACTATCATACATTAAGAAATGGAAACTGCGAAAAACCTCTTCTACAGCATGCTGAAACTAAAGAAGCAGTGGCAGAAACTACATGCTCAACTATGGTTTCTTTTAAAGTGCAGAACACACAATATTGTACCTAAGTGTATTTCACTTAAGCATCGGACATTTCCTCCATGCCTACGAAGGACTCTTCCAAGTGTGGAAAAAAAATGCTTCTTGCAAAACTAATTCGAAACAAGCGAAAGTGCCTTGCAGAAAACGAGCTTAACCTCTACGCGGTGCATCTGCAGTTTACCAACATCTGTGACCCAGTTATACTTTACGATCAGTTGGGTAAAATGCAGAGTATAGCGGCCAGAGCCACAAAAATTATACAAACGAAATTAGATAGCAAGTTCTAATGGTTGCTATGTTCCACACACAGACAGCACAAAGAAGTGGTGACCGTTCCATATTACAATTATACGGAGCAGGCAGTGCCTACCGCGGTACATGAAATTCTACGAGGGCCCAAGTACATCCCTCCTCCTAACACCAAGCTTAGCCAGTTGGTTCCAGCGTAATTGGCAGCACTCAAATCGTGCCAGGCAACAACCAACTATCCACAAATGGAGATGTCGATAATTATGAAGCTTGCATCAGCGAAACAAACACCTGACGAGTACAGACACTGTGTGGACTGCCAAGCGGTTGCATGCTACCTCGCAACATCTGACTTAAGGCTTCTAGTCTCAGACAAAGACAAAAGTTTGTGCTGTGTAAAGAAGAATATTTTCTCCTTAGAGCCACTGAGTTTCTTTGCCAATCACATTCCACTGTAATAAGTGAGGATCCTACCTACACCAACGATCCTACGGAAAACAAGGAGAATCATAACCCTACCAGGAATAGTATTGTTGCTACCTGGATGCCTTGACCACACACCCAGTGTTGCAAGAAGGTGCAGCACTGAACTCGCAAGAAGGGTATGCAATATGAATTATAACCCATGGGCCCACTCCACTATACTCAGGGCATGCAACGACCGAAGACTACTCTTTATATGGGAGTCACTATATATAACAACATTTGAAACATGCAACATGCCTACTCTGGAGCTGCCTAATATATGGATCACCCTATACAAACGATTAAACGGCGAATTACATCACATGTCACGTCACTGACAGGAAGCAGTATCACGCATGCGCCGTGTTTCGTCACATTCATAACATCGCACATAATTCAAATCTTAGCGGATTCATATCGAAAAATTATTCAATTTTAAATTTTATGTGTGTTCTTCTCTCGAACGGTCGCATTTGATTAAAACATTTTATTTGCCTGAAGACGACGGAAATATATTCGTCGAAAGTGCTTGAGTGAATGAAAAACGATTAATAACACTAAACACAGTGAGTTTTAATTACCAATTAATATTACTTGGCATGAATAGCATACTAGCCTACATTATTTTAATATCGTTATTCGAAATTTAAAACTTTGGCACGCATAAACATCTTTAAAGCTAAGTGTGCTTACAGTATGGCACGCGGGCTCAAAAAGGCCATGCTCTAGGCCAGGGGTCGGCAACCTTTTGAGTCGGAAGAGCCAAAATTAATTTACAAAATTTCAAAGTTTTTAAAGAGCCACAAAATTTTTTCTTGCCAACAATAAATAGTACTCGCATAAATAAAGTTTTTTGATAAAAAAAACTAATCTATATATTCATAAGAAAAAATATCTATTTATTCATATATAAGTAGTGTTTTTCACAACAAATTAGATAATAGAAACATCCGACGACGGCGTCACTCGAGAGCTTCCGACGGACTGACGACGCGTGTCACGGGGGAGGGGTGCGATGAAAAGCAAGTACAAGTGGCTGAGAGATAGAATTGTTGCCGAATCCTCGTTAATCGATTCAGAACGATTTTTAAATGTTTTTTTTTTTTTTGATAAAATAAATATTTGCGTATGGAAGAGCCGCAGCTTCACATCCAAAGAGCCGCATGTGGCTCGCGAGCCGCAGGTTGCCGACCCCTGCTCTAGGCCATTGTCGGGTTTTTAAAAAAAATCTATGGAACATTGATAACTGTTCTTTTCACATATAACAGTTAAGAACACATTTAAAATATAAAAATCTTTGGAATAATAAGCAATTTGAAACCTGAATGTGTTCTTAACTGTTATATGTGAAAAGAACAATTATCAATGTTCCATAGATTTTTAAAAACCTGGAGATGGCCTGTAGAAAAGGTTGAAAACGTTTGTTAAAGTTAATAAATAATTCTCAGTGAGATAAGGTGTTGTTGTGGAAATTAAATATTTTAGTTTAAGTCAATGATTTTTCTGAATCAGTTTTAAAAATTACAAAATTCTAACATAAATACATATTAAATATTATATTTTAATAAATATCATTGTGTATAAAGCTTCATTTCAAAAGTAATCTATCTATATATAGATTTCAGTTTCAGATGATCACAAATTTCGTAGATTATATGAGAAAAATCAGCTATTCAAACAATAGAGCACTTTTTGCAAATTATGTATGGAATATTAGTGTAACATTTTTGATTATAGTCCAAGAATTTGTTTATTAAACTGTAAATCAGTGGTTTTCAATCTTTTATGAGTTAGTGGTGCATACACATACACCGTTCAACAGTAATAGAACATACAGTGATTGCCTAGAAATTCTCTATTATTTTCATGTAACTTTGATGAAATTTTCTAATATGTTTGATAGCAAATGATCAATTATTATTTCATAAATTTGGAGAAAAGTGATTAATAAGCAAAAGAGTTAGCTATTATTATCAAAAATAGGATGTCCAACATTAATAGAATATGTACTGATTGGAATTAACTACAAACAAAGTAATAATTGCAATCCATGAAATTTGCATAAAAATACGATCAACAAGTGAAAAGAAAGGTTTAGTAAACTGCATAGTACCTTACTATTAAAAATGGACATGGGAAGGACCTAAGGCTGGAGTTACACTTACAGAAAAACACCACTGAAAATGTAAACTGAAAGCCAAATCCAGAAAAATTTTACATTCCTCAAGCATAAAATTCCTGGAAAATCAACTCGAGAGATGCTCAGTGGAAAATTTTTTCTGGCCGTAAGATGTAGATGTTGACCAATCAGATCGCTGGAAGTGATGATGTGTTTACAATGTCGCTGATGTCACTGCTGTGCTGAAAATGAGAAATCGCATGAGCTGACCAATGGCCATTTTGACACGCGTTGATAGTTGAGTCACTGCTTCAAAATCATAGAAGCTCAGAAAGAAAAAAGTCAAAAGGTAACGAAGAACGATGTTTAGCTTGAATTTGCGAGAGCTGGAATGAATGTAGATATAGCGGTGCCAGTAATGTGAATTAATTTATTCTGTTCACTATTTTGTAAAAAGTCTTTTTTTAAATGTTGTCTGGAATAAAAGAAACAGTAGAATTTGCTTAGTTTAATTACTTTAGAACTATTTATATAGAAAGTTTGTTATTTTTTTTTTTATTCCATTTTTCTTTTCTTTTACAATTTTACATGTGAAACATGGAATTCATACTGAACAGAAAATTGCCATTAAGGTTATGTGAGCTTTTTTTCTGTAAGTGTGACTCCAGCCTAACTGTAGAGAAGAAGATCAAAATTGATTTATTTCATCAGGAGGGGAAAAAAGTAACTTGGATTGCTAAAAATTTGGGAAGACCTCATTCAACAATCTCAAAGTATCTCAATAATAAATAATGAGCAACGAACATGAAAATGAAACAATGGTCGCATGAGTTCAACAATACCTAGAGAACGACATTCAATTGTTTGACATGCACTGCAAGAAAACATATCCATGCAAAAATTTAAAATGAATTGAAGCTGAGTTGCAGTAAATCAACAGTACACAATGTTTTGAGATCAACAGACAATGTTTCTTTCATCAAAATAAGACAGGCAACCAACTCAAGAAGAAACACAAACAACCTTGATTACAGTATGCTGGAAATGACTTTGAAAGAGAGGAAAGATGGTGAAAAGTAATTTTCTCAGATGAGAAAAGGTAGAATCTTGACAGACTTGATGGTTTTAAGTATTATTGGGTAGACAAAAGACTAGATCAAAAGCAGTACTCAAAAGAAAGTAGCTGATGGTGGTACACTCATGACTTGGGCAGGGATTGGATGGAATGGAAAAACAGATCTAGTATTTATTGAAGGTCAGAGTAACTCTTAAACTTATCCAGAGTGTCTGGAGGCAGCTATAAACTTATGGACAGAAAATTGCTGGACAGGACTTTGAATTCATGCAGGATAATGCAAGCTTCTGTGTATCAAAAACAACATTGTCCTTTTTTCAGAGCAAGAATGTCCAACTTTGAACTGGCAACCCCTCAGTGTGGATTTAAACCCAATTGAAAATCTTTGGGGTGACTTTGTTTTTCAAATATATAACAGGGGAAAGCAATACAAGAACCATCACTGAAGTAAAGGCTGCTCTCATTGAGACATGGGAAAATATTCCACAAGAACAACTGCAATCTTTGATTAATTCAATGTCTAATTGTATTTTTCAGCTTGTTTCCAAAAATGGTAGCAAAATCAACTATTAATTATAATTTAAAGATACCATAAGTCAAGATGTTCTATTAATGTTGGACATTCTATTTTTGCTAATAGTATCTAGCTCTTTTGTTTATTACTCATTTTTCTCCAAACTTGTGCAATAATTGTTAATATCTTACTATAAAATATACTAGAGAATTTCATTAAAGTTACATGAAAATAATAGAGTTTCTAGGCAATCACTGTGTGTTCTATTATTGTTGGAAGGACTGTACAACTTTTTGTCACACCAATGAGCATATGTTATATCAAAGATGCTTTTATAAGTATAAATGAAAAGAAACATTAAAGCCATTTGCAGTTTTTTATTTTACATAAAAATATAAAAATAATAATAAGTACAGAAACAATTATTGTTTTTTAAATATTTTTTTGAAATTTAATGCATCCTTATGAGAAATTCATTTAGAACACTGATTAAGAACCACTGCTCTAAATTAAGGTATTGGGATATCTGAACTTTGTGACAATTAAAAAAATATGGAAAATGCATATTTTTAATTTTTCATTACTTTATTTATTAACCCTGTCTCAATTATAAAAAGGGGGCAGAGTTAGGGGATTTCACTTCCATAGAAGTTACAACAAACATCAGTTAACAAAATTTTATTCTAGTTGAAACCCAGTTTATTTGTATCAAACTGAAACAATCTGAGTTTAATTCATTCTGAATATAATATTTTTTATTCTTCAGATTCTGTTTTTAAAAACATTTATGTTATTAATAAATAGTACCAAATGTTTTAATAAATTCATATTCTGAAGAATTTTTCAAGTAGATTGTTTCATTGAAAACTTTAAATAATGATTATAACATAATTTTATCTGTGATCATTTTGTTTAAATAATCCTAGATATGATTATTATACAGCTATCTTTATTAGGCAAAATCTTTTGAATTGGTATTTTTTGAAAATGCCAAAATTTTAAAATTAAAATGCAAATGACTTCTTGGACAATTACTTTAAGTGTAAAAAAAATGATATAGTTGATTCTATAAATTTTGTTTTAGTGTTTGAGAACATTAATGGGTCACACAGGTGGAGTGTGGTCATCTCAGATGGCCGGCAACATCATCATCAGCGGTTCCACTGATCGCACACTGAAAGTCTGGAATGCTGACACTGGACAGTGCATTCACACGCTGTACGGTCACACTTCAACCGTGCGATGCATGCATCTTCATGGAAATAAGTGAGTAAATACAAAAATTTTTCACTGTTTTGTTTGTTTCGTTAACATTTCAAATATAATTTTGTATACCATAAATGATTTTTAGAGTGGTTAGTGGATCGAGAGATGCCACTTTGCGTGTCTGGGACATCGAAACTGGTGAGTGTCTCCACGTGCTGGTCGGTCACGTGGCGGCTGTTAGGTGTGTCCAGTACAATGGCAAATTGGTGGTGAGTGGAGCTTATGATTACATGGTCAAAGTATGGAATCCAGAACGAGAAGAATGTCTGCATACTCTTCAGGGGCATACTAATAGAGTTTATTCTCTTCAGGTATGAAATTCTTTTAGAAATTTAATTAAAACATAATAATGCATAAGAGTTACATCATCTTAGGTTCCAGGCTAATGCTGTAGATAGAAAATATCTGTCTTTTCACTTATTTACTGCTCTTATGTACTACTAATGTACTGCTCTTCCTGCACTTGACATCTTGTAGTCTATTGAACCATTCATGGCTTTCAGTATTTTCACTGTTTCATTTTCGTAGCTTTCATGTCATTGCAATTGGGCTTTATTTTGAATAACAGCCTGATTTAAGGAACATTACAATCAGTCTGATTATCTATCCAGACTTAAGAGTCTGTCTTTATCAGCAAACAAGGCCATTTCTTTTCTTAATTATAGTAGTGTTCACTGGAGTAAGCATTTTTAATTTCAATAAAAACTTTGGTTTGAATCAGTGTGAGGGAAACATAACCTTCAGCCTCTCTCAGTTTGTCATACAACTTCATTCCTAAGTTTAATCATTTTAATTTTTGAATCCAATACAATAGCTTTATGACTTTTCTTTTCACTTTTATCTGCCATTGTATTATCTTGCACATTTATATTTTAATTACAATAAAAACAATGAAATAGAAGGTATAAACAGTGTAATGTTCACTTTTAATAACACAATGTAATACAGTAATACAAAGGGTGCAAAACAAATCACATCTGTAAACAAACTGATGATACAGTTGAAAGCCAATTGGATTGTAGCATCATACCACTATAGACTGCACAGCAAAAGAGTAGACATGTACAGTATGAATTACAGAACACTAATGGATGGAAGTAATATTAACAACAGAGATCAAAAACATTCTCTAACACATGGAGGCTGCTATATTGATGAGAATAACTGTCTTCAGAACTAGGGGCTGTCCATAAATTACATCCAGATTTTTCTTGAAATTTTTACACTCCACTCTTGTCCCAATTTGTGTAAGTTTCCATAATCCCTCCTCTCTTCAGATGATCAACAAAACTCAAACCCCTGTAAAACCTTTATCACTTTATGAATGATAGATACTGTAATTGAAAACAAAACATACAAGAATTCTTAAATAAATGTAATAAAATGCATAAACAGTATAAAAAATAACATGAAAATAAAACGGATGTCCACTGAAGCTCAACCCCTCCCCGTTGTCTTGACCCCATCCATTTCTTCCAGTGTGGGCATCATTTATGGATAGTCCCTAATACTTAACTTTTACTTTGTGTTATACTTTAAAATGCAGCTTTGTGTATAAGGTGTTTACCTTTATTCTAGTGGTAACTTTTTAATATTTTTTAATGTTCTCTTTGTTATTTTTTATTACTTAATTTATTAATGTATTTTTTATTATATTTTTAACTTGCTTATCATATTTTACATTTTAAATTATGTTCCACATAAGCTAGAACACACTTTCAAATAGTCATTCCACGACGTAATATATCTATAATATATTTGAAAGCTAGAGAACCCGAAGATGGTCTAAATTAGACCAAAAGTACTCGAAGATAATAAAAGTTTTGTTGATAACAAGTTATTTGGTATTTATACATTAGAACTTATTTTAGTAATGTCTTTGTTTGAAATACATAAGAATGAGGAAAATTCTAATATATTAAAAATTGAACTTTTCTTGATATTTTCATTTATAGTTTGATGGAATACATGTAGTCAGCGGTTCACTGGACACTTCGATCAGAGTGTGGGACGTCGAAACGGGAGCCTGTAAACACACACTAATGGGACACCAATCTCTCACCTCCGGAATGGAATTGAGGAACAACATACTCGTGTCGGGCAATGCCGATTCTACGGTTAAAGTATGGGATATATTAACTGGCCAGTGTCTTCAAACTCTCGCAGGTAACATTTTTTTTTAACTGTTATAATTAATGAATTTATTAACTAAAGATGAAATTACTGTTGTGTGTCTTAAAAGAAATATATAATTTGATTTTAAACAGTTTTCATCAGTTTCCAATCTTCAGATTACCAATGTTAAAATAATCCTTTAATACTAACTCTTTATATTTTACATGCATTTTTAAGTTATTTTATGGAAAAAACATGATCAGTTAGGAAGTAAAAATATACAATTTATATCAATAGTAAACAAACTATATGTAATTTTTATCATTGTAAAAATCCAGAAAAATTGATGTTTAAAGAGCATTTACTCAATATCTTGTTAATATAATTTAATCAGTTTGAGATTTACCAACACCACAGTATTTTCAAACATCAACACAAAAGTTTCCTTTTAAAAATAGTTAAAGACCTACTGGTATTATTAAATTCGAAATAGATAAACGAAGCATTATGAAAACGTTTAAGTCCCCCTTGCTTTAAAATGAGTTCAGAAAGGCTTTCTTCTCATACATGGTATTAAACACCTTAACAAGATGCAGTTTTAACATGGAAAGTGCTATATTTCCGTGGATTAAATTCCTGGCTGGATACTGTATACGTGCACACACTAGTGTATTCTCACTCCACTCATTTAGTTCCTAATAATAATTTAGTGTGTGTGTGTGTACGTGGAAAGTTTTTTGTGGGAAATTAAATTCGTAAAAATAAGGAAAGATGGGGTATCTAAAAATTAACATTTTTTTTTGTTTTGTGTTTTCATTAGGTCCCCACAAACATCAAAGTGCCGTTACCTGTCTGCAGTTTAACAATAAATTCGTCATAACGTCGTCGGACGACGGCACCGTCAAACTGTGGGATCTAAAAACGGGCGAGTTCATCCGCAACCTGGTAGCTTTGGAAAGTGGCGGCAGCGGAGGGGTGGTCTGGAGGATAAGGGCGTCTCCCACCAAACTGGTGTGTGCGGTCGGCAGCCGTAACGGAACGGAGGAGACCAAACTACTGGTTCTCGACTTCGACGTCGACTACAAATGACCGACCAATAGTGCCACGAGACTTTTTTTTCTAAAAAAGAAGAAGAAGAAGAATCTCCCGTCCCGCCGCCGCGTGTACGGCGGGATCTTCGATAACTGCCTGCTCATAAACAAAAAAACAAACAAAAAAAACTCCAAAGAATTCACACGTGTTGGGTGAGAATCTCATTTGCCAGTTCTTTATTATTTTTTTTAACCGGGAAAAACTGACATTAGAATTAATAACTATGATGATGATAATAATAATAATAACAATAATTGGAATTTTATTACCGAAGAAAATTGCGGGAAATATTTCGTGGCGGGATGCGCGCGATCGCACCCGTCCCCGGTCCCCACCCGTTATCGGTTGTAGATACATGTATAATTTTTTTTTCTTGTTTTTTTGGGATTCCGAATCGTACTTCGTTCTCGTATCTCTCGTCGAGATTGTGTGACGATTAGTGAACTGTCCGACCGGTCAGCGTGTAAATAAATAGTAATATGTTGAGTAAATTTCGAATTCTTTTTTCCATGTGGTTCTTAAAAATTTGACAGTACAAATTAAAAATTATTTCTAGAATTTTTATAAATTAAAAAAAAATAATAATAAAAGAATTAAATGGAATCCGTGCTTATTTTAATCGATTAAACAATAGAAATTCCCGTGAATCCATCGGAATTCGACCTGTGGACTGATAAAAAATTACATGAAATTCGAATGGAGCGGTGGACGTCCATAAAAATCTATTAAACATTTTCATTTAAGGGGAAGACTAATTTTTTCTCGTGTATTTTAGTCATACAATTTAAGAGAGTAAGACAGACCTAAAGTTTACTGGCACGAAACTCAGATATAAGATTATTAAGGCTTTAAAATCAAAAATTGAAGTAAATAATGAGTTTTCAAGAATTATTTCATTAAAAATTATGTTTTTAAACAACTATTACAGTATCGCATCTCCAGGTTAAGAATCACTGAAATACTGAAACATTTTTGTATTAACAGTAAAAAAGTGGATTAAACGATTTCTATTGCAGAAATTTTGAAAATACCAAATCTTCACTCCCAGAAAATACGAGAAAAGCTGCTTTAATATGTAAAAATTACAGGAAAGTTTTCCTGTCTATGACTTCACACGGGCAGTTTTACATTAAGAAGGATTTAAATTTACAAGAACACTTGTTGATTCAGAGTTTTCAATCCGAACAAGCGACTTGGTATCAAACAAACAATTTTGATAAAGATTGACCTTTTTCCCATTGCTTGACTCGATGTGTCCATATTCTTAACAAAGGTTTGAACCTTAGTTACGAAAAACTCGGTCCTTAAGGCCACTTTTGACAAAAAAAATTTTTTTTTTCAATTTTTGGAATGTTTTTTAGGTCCACAAATTTTTTCAAAAATTTTTACCCGCGCGAAAAAATTTTATCGCGATTTTAATTAGCCTTTGATAAGGCTCGATTAAGGCTTAATTGTTTTTTAACACCTTAAGTTCCCAGCAATTTTTGATATTAAGAATATGGACACATCGTTGAGCCAGTAGTTAGTTAACCAATAAGCAATTGTATATTTAGAGTAAAATTAATAGTTGGTCAAGTTCTCTTACCTTGTAATCGCGACGTGGTGTATGTTTCGGTATGATTTTAATCTAGACCAGGGATCGCCAAACTTTTTGAACCGTCGACCCCCAATCAGTTTCCAAAGCCTCACATTGACCCCCACAGTAAAGTTTTATTACAAGTGTATATGTATGAGCGAAAATAAAACGTTGTGAGTTGTGGTCTCTGTCTAAGCAAAAAAAAAAGTTGTGAACCCTTAGCCGCATCGACCCCTGGGGGTCCATATCGACCACTTTGGCGACCCCTGTACTAGACATACTAGGTTAAATGATACGTGGTTCTAATATATAGTAGCGAGATTACTTCCTCAGAAGTCAGCCTTTGTGGCCAAACTGGAATAATAATCACTAACAGGACAACTAGGTCCTGTACACATTCCATATAGTTATGCGTTGGTCAACTGGATGCCACACGCGCACAAGAAATTATTACTCTGACATCTTGGAACATTAGAGCCTATGAGGAGAATTCGTCTGGTGGGTTAACGACAACTTTTACTTTGTAATCAGTTCAGACTACATGAGGGAAAAATGTACAGTAGAGCCTCTATTATCCGACCCCTGATTAACCGACCGTCCTAGTCGGCAAATTTCAAATGTCCGCTAGTGATGTGGCGCTACAATATTTGGCTATGTCTTGGCTACTTTTATATTATTTTTACGTGTTTTAGCTGGCAACACTCATTCCACCATGAAAGGGAGTCAGTATTTAAACGAGGCTTAATTTTCTAATTTTTAACGATACAATAGCGACGATTATTATTTTAAAAAATTTTTGTTAGGCTTAACATTGATGAAAATTCAACGCATAGTAGGTTAATAGCGATATACTAATTACATGGGATATAATAATATACTACACTAATAATGGATTTTTTCTTACTTTTCGGTTATCCGACCAACCCCAATCCCCAATTGGGTCGGATAATCGAGGTTCTACTGTAGTTTAAATCAGCATCGCACTCCGTAATTATTCTTGAATTGCATTTCATTAATTAAAATAGTCGCTAAAATTGGCACCTCGAAGCATACGTGGTATACCATATCGGAGTATAATCTGCATTATGGATTCTTCTCACGCAGGAAAAACGTTAGCAGCTCGCGCTTCGATAGGATGGACACCTGTGGAAGACATCTTTCTTATCGATGAGGCATTCTCTAATTCCTTCTCATTGCTCGCGCGATTATGTGCTTTGGGTGGACTCTATTCCTTGAACAACGGAGTTAATGTCGATCGAGTCTTTGAACTCGATAAATTTTTCTCATTTGAACAGAGTTAATCATTTTCGAATGGATAAGCGACGTAATATTAACACGGATCAGCTTGCATTGTACGAACGCCGTCTTCCTCTTCGAGCGTGAAAATGTGGCGCAAAGTAATCATAGGATTATGGAAAACCTTGAAAGACTCTAAATGAATGGACGAATGCAGGACCCCTCCTTCATTTATATTTTAATTCTTCGAAAGCTTAAGTAGATGATTGAAGACGATGACGAAACGGAAGGATGTCGCATATACGGACCTTATTTAGCCATTTTGGGAAATAAGAATTCTTGCGTAACACGGCGGTAACGGACAAGGCAAAGTAACAACAGCAGATATTTTACTTCTATGGAAATTTAACAATCAAGAGTAGTAAAGAGTTATGAGAACGGTCCATATTAACAAAGATGTGGAATAAAAATAATTAAATCCGACTGCTTATGTTGTTTCGTAAATCCCGTATTCTCTATTCGACTTCGACGTTATGAAATGTTGGGTCGTATGCGTAGCGCGTGGTTCATAAAGTCCAGTTTTATCCAAAATATAGAACCAAATCCTTAACTCATCACTAAAATTCTGGTAGCAAAGGGGAAAACTTTTCGGCTCGCCGGAATTTTAACGTAATGAAGTAGCGATTATTACATATGTAACAGTATTTTGAGGCGTTTAATACAATATAATTCACAAGTCGATGTGTGGATTTATCTGCCAAATAGTAGTGTCGCTACCTATATAAAATGTTTACAATGAATTAAATAGTATTTATTGGGCTGCAGTTTTCAAATTTCACACGTATTTGCTTCTCATGTCGTCCGCCTGTCTGTCCTTTAATCTTAAGAACAGATGAAAATCGAGACCAGATATGGAAAGCTTAAAGGTTGGAGGCGCCGATATACGAACTTTCGGTCTGGACCAGAAGTTTAGCATTTTTTTAAAATACGATTAAAATTGAAATCCTCATTATGGCGATTTTACCAGGGCTTAAAACCGTAATTTTCGGTTATCCGGATTTTGAGTTTTCGATTTACCGGATTTTGTTATCGGATTTTATCCGTGACCTCTATAGAACTCTGGTTACCAAAATTTGGGGTTCTAGACCCGTTATTTACTGACCTTTTAACGTTACTTCCGGTCGGCGGTGGAACACGAGTTTTAGGCTTCCAGTTGGACCTATCAAAATAATTTTTGGGTATTTCTTTAAGGAGCATTTACGTAAATTTTTCGTAAAATTTCGTTAAAATCGGACAGATATAATTTAAACTATGGCGATTCTTATATTGAGTTCTAAAATCAACTTCTCACTGAACGTTGGTTGCCAAGGCAAAGGTCGTTTCCAGTTGATCATACGGTTTTTTCGCTTTTTCTAGACTATTTTTTATTTAATATAGTACTTATTATATATTTTTGGAATCGGGGTGACACAAAGATTCTAAATAATATATTTCGGATAAATATATAGTCTGATTTTGCGCTTTTTATCCGTTTTTCTAGTTGCATTTCATTGCTACCTCATTGGCATTACTATAGTCATGGCTGATAGTCCACCCATCATTGCAGCGCGTACAGCTGCAAATGACGTAATCACTGAATTAAAAGAATATATTGCAGAAAATTCACATAGCAAATTTTCAACTTCCCGTCACGCAGATTTTATCTTTGACTGTATTAATAGAGTAATCAAAATCTATGAAGAGAACAGTGTTTTGTCTATGCTTAAGGAGATTAACAATAAAATTGATACAATAGGCAATAGTAACAATAAAGACGTAATAATTACCCCTTCATACAGTTCAGTACTGCAATCAGGCAAAGCTGTTAATTCAGCTACTGCTAATATTACACTTAAGCCGTCTAAAGACGTTCTACTAATTTATAACAAAGAGGACAATAAAAACAGTGAAAATACACGTAAAATCATACAAGAACGTATAAATCCTATTGCATTAGGCATCGGAGTAGAAAGAATACGTCGCATAGGGGGAGGAGGCGTTGCAATACATTTAAACAATAAAAGTGATCTAACAAAACTTGAGAATTGTGTACAAGAATCAATACCAGAACTAATAGTCAGGAAACCTAAGAAACGAAATCCACATATTGTACTATACTCTGTGCCTGCACAATTACTGCGTGAAGAACTCCAAGATTATATATATGAGCAAAATAATATCATACATGAGAATTATTCAGAAATAGAATTTAAGGAACAATTTAAAATAAAGTTTAGCATGGGACGAAAAGATGCTCAATTTCATAATTGGGCGGTAGAAGTTTCACCACAAATTCGGAAATACCTTCTTATGGTTGGAAAAATAAACTTACAATGGTCTCGATGTAGAGTTCAAGACTTCTGCCCTATTATGCAATGTTTCCGTTGCTGTAAATACGGACACTCCACCAAATACTGTGAACAAGAAATACCAACATGTAGTCAATGCGCCGGGGAACATACATATAAACAATGCCCTAATAAGACTACTAAACCGAGATGTATTAACTGTCATCACAATAAACTGAATACTTTAAACCACAACGCAAGAGATAGCTCCTGCCCTGTCTTTCAACGGGTTAAAAATACCATCATACAACGAACAGAATATGGCATTTAGCAGTAATAACGGTATACGTTTTCTGCAGATCAATTTGGGAAAACGTATTTCAGCAACTTCTCTTCTTGCATCTATCTGCCACAAATATGATTTTATTTTAATACAAGAGCCCTATTGTCTACACAATAATCCGGCATGCTTACCAACTCGCTATTCAATTCTTAAGGGCACTGAAAACTATCCTTGGGCAATTAATGTTATTACTAACATCAATTTTACTATCCTTCATCACAAGATCTTGTCGAATGAATACATTGTATGTAATGAAATTTATTTTAATAACAATACTTACATAATTATCAATATTTATTGTCCACGCGACATGAATCTGAATATTATTATCGACAAACTACAGAATCTAATTAATAAATTTCATAATGCTCGGTTTATCATTGCGGGGGACATAAATGCACATTCACCTGCATGGGGCGGTTATCAGCATGACCACCGTGGAGGCATTTTTGAAGATTTTATAGCCACTAATGGATTACAATTATTAAACAATCCGCTATCCCCTCCCACTTATGTAACTAGTTATGGGGAAACATGGATAGATGTTGCAGTATGCAGTTCAGAATGTATAACTGAGTTAGAAAACTGGAGAGTTCTCGCTGAAAGTAGTCTCAGTGATCATGCTTACATTTCATTTCAGCTTAAAAACAACGGCAGTGCACAAACTGCATCCGTAGATAAGCCTAGGTTTAATCTAGCTCTGGCTGATTGGGAAGGTATGCTCCGCTATCTATCAAACAATCTATTGACATATAATAATATGAATAATATTTCTAACAAAGAAATCATCGAACAAACTCTCGATTCTAATATTAAGACAATTGAACAAGCATGTCATAGATATATTCCTAAAACAAATCCTAGATTGAAATCTGTACCTTGGTGGAATAACGAGCTCACTGATCTTCGAAAAACAAATAATTACCTGCGAAGAAGATATCAAAAATGTCGAAATGAACCAAATCGTACTATATTTAAACAAGAATATTATACACATCAAGTCTTCTATAAAAGAAAAATAAAGAATGCGAAAATACAATCTTGGCAAGATTATTGTACTGCTGCCTCATCCAACCCATGGGGATACCTTACTAAATTATGTACGAATAAATTACGAAAGCAACAAATACTAATAAATAATGACCCTGAAACAATAACGCAATCAACTATTGATACAACCCTTTTAAACACCCTGAAGCAGCGAATGGATAGCTATTGTATCTCAGACTGCGCTGCAAAGGACACCCCTTGGCAGAGATCATTAAGAGAAAACATAAACAAACATATGAACACTGGTAACTCTTCTCAGTTTACTTATCAGGAAATAAATAACGCCATCGGTAGACTAAAAGAAGGAAAATCTCCAGGCGTTGATGGTATAACTGCCAAAATTGCAAAACATATTTGGGAAATGATTCCACAACAACTTGTACAATTATATAATGTATGTTTATTCGCAGGCATTTTTCCAGCCAGATGGAAAATTGCGAAAATAGTACCTGTCCCTAAACCAAATAAGCCCAGTGAAACAAGACCAATTTCTCTATTGCCAATTTTTGGTAAAGTACTTGAACGTCTATTAACAGATCGATTAACCTGGTTGGTTGAGAAAAATAACATACTTAACAACATGCAATTTGGCTTTAGACAGCAAATTTCCACCAGTGACGCACTAATTCATGTAGTACACAATATTAAAAGCCTACTTGAATATAACAAGTATGTCTTGGCTATTAGCTTAGACATATCCAAAGCATTCGACAGTGCCTGGTGGCCGTTTGTGTTACATCAAATCAGAAATACAGCCTGCCCAGCTGACATTTATAATCTATTTGTAAATTATTTAAGCACTCGTAAAGCCATTCTTGAATATGGTGGACACACGACGGAAAGAGAAATTGTCTGTGGATGCCCCCAAGGATCTGTTTGTGGTCCGTTATTATGGAATCTAACATTCAATGCCTTTTTTGATGAAAACTTTGGGCAAGATGCAACAACAGCTTACGCGGATGATGTTTTAATAATGATTGGCGGGCGGTCTAGAGCAATTTTGGAAAAACGTGGAAATGATACTCTTGCAAAGATTCATCAATGGGGAATTAAACATAAGCTGAAATTTAATCCTGCAAAAACTACCGGTATTGTATTCAACAAACCAAGAAAACCAAATTTATATCTTCTAAGGCGCTAGATAACCCAGGTATGCTCATACGCTTCCGTCACGTGTGCAGCCATATTGGTCCTTTTGACGTCATATTCCAAGATTTTTAAATTTAGCTGTATTTTATAACTAGTTGCACTAAATTTTGGCAAAGTTTATCATTTCGACCTTGCAAAATCTTAAGATACAGTTGAATTTATGATTATTTTCGTGTCTCTTCTATTGAACTTCTACGAGAGTCGTCTGATTTTTCTAAGGACCAACATGGCGGATGAGCATACCTAGGTTATCTAGCGCCTTAATATCTTCGCAAGCCTACAATAAAAATGAATAATCAGTCAATAAAAATTGAAAAGTGCATCAAATACCTAGGAGTATGGCTGGATTTCAGGCTTGGGTGGGATGAACACATTTCATATGTAGCCAAAAGAACTTCTCTCATTTTTCACGCTTTTTCTGAAATAGCGCGTAAAAACTGGGGTTTATCTTCTGAGGCAGTTGGTATCATCTATGATCAAATTTATATTCCCATCATAACATATGGTTGCTGTAGTTGGGGTAATGCTATTCACAAAGTACATCTCCACAGGAAATTGATATCATCTCAAAGAAAAGCTCTACTTTTATTAACTAGGGCATACCGGACAGCTCCTAATTGTAGTTTGCAAGTAATTTCTAGAAAACCACCAATAACTGAAATTATTCAAATGGAATATAATCTCCAACAACTCAAAATGGGAATCGATATATCTACATCCACATGTGACCTTAGTTCCAGTGTTTATGAACATCAAAGTCCCATCAATACCAGTCTACCGCCTAATATCAACAATTTTCTTAGCATTGATCTGCCTAGCTATTCCGATTTAAAGATATACACTGATGGCTCTGGCATAAACGACTCCATTGGATGTGCTTTCGTAGCATACTGTAACGAAATAGAAATCTACAATCAAAAAGGAAAACTGCATAAACTTTGCACTGTATTCCAAGCTGAATTACTTGCGATCTACATGGCTACCCTATGGATCGAGCAGAATTTTACTAGAAAGTACATCCATATTCTAAGTGACTCCTTCTCTGCGATACAGGTCATTTACAGTCAACAATTACATCCGGTTGCAACCAATATTCGCAACATAATCAGCAATTCTCATAATAGCTATACCATATCTTGGACTAGAGGACACCAAGGTACGGTAGGAAATGAACGTGCGGATCAATTAGCGAAGGAAGCCGCTACTGACGATTCATTAGACATCATGTATGATAAGATTTGTAGAAGAAGTATTAAAAAACTTTTATACGAAGATTTATTAAGCAGATGGCAACACAACTGGGATTGCAAACATAATGACACGACTTATAAATTCATACCTAACATCAAGAAATATCACAACAATTATAAATGGGTAATTCCAAGCTTCTCACTTACTCAGTTTCTTACCGGGCATGGTAAATTTTCAAAATATCTACATCGATTTGTGAATAAGCAAAATGATCAGTGTGCCATATGCGGTCAACCGGACAGCGTCGAACATTATATTTTTACCTGTATCGCTCTTGAAACAGAACGTTTAGAAATAAAAACCATTGCTCATAGATATAACCTCAATTGGCCATGCAAACAAGAGGATCTTATAAAAAATAAAGAAATTTTTTCTTCTTTTCTACTACTTATTAAACGCCATGAGGCTATAGCAATCTATGCAACTAGGGAATAATCTTGATTTTATTCACTTGGTTTTTACTTATAACTTGTCTTGAAAAACTAGTCTAACGTACTTGATATAATGGTTTATTTTCTTTCATCAAAGCTTAATCACCAATTGACTGGTTAGGTGCTTGTCGTCTTGTTCTTTAGAGACTCAGCGGTTTTATTTGGTCGTGAAAGCACTAGTTTGACTGTCGGAATTGCTATATTTGATATGGTTTTGAAATTAATTCTCTTACATTTCCTGTTGTCAATCGCTAATGACTCTATTTTTTCATTTGCTCACTTTGCTGATTTGCCAGGATAATTGACAGATATTTTGACAGAGATAAAACTGTTAAAATTTTGACAGAGATAATTGACAGAAATAAAACTGGTCTTTTACCATATAAAGGCTTTGATAGATATGTGATTATTATTCACATTCAATATACTATGATCACTATATTTCATTTGTGACCCTTGCGTTTCGTCAACGTGTCAGTTATCTTCATAACTCAATGCTACAGACATATGACTTAATTGTACAACTGTGGTGCAAAATAAAGTGCTTCAGTATGGATTATGCATATCCTGGATATATTATTTGTGCTACAGACGTGTGACTATATTACAAGTGTTTGTGCTGCAGGCAAGTATCTTTAATAGAGCCTTGTGTCCTTGTATCATCAATTACATATGGTCCATCATGATGTGATTAGACAAGAATACACCATCTGATTGGGAAGACATTGTGGAACATACGACTTCGCTCCATAAACTTTAAATGGTCGACAGTCTGTGTTACCCTAACATCTGTTATAAACTATTAATGGCTTCATCATTGATGATCTTTGACAAAACTCACCATCAAAATAAACTGTGCAATAAACAACTCGACTTCATGAAATCTGAAGGATCTCCACCTGTAATACGATATAAATACAACACGCTCAACAAATTGTCAAATAGTATAAGTTTAGTTCTAAGATAGTCATAAGTTTAGTTTTAATTTAGATTTAGTTAATCTTAATTTAACTTTATTTTATCTTTATGTTTTTTTTTTTTTTTTTATGTATTTCTTTCTATTAATATTGTTAAACAATCTGCATGACAGATTGTAAGTATATATCTACTATGTTACACCAAAAACTTGTATTTCTATCTTAATTCACTACTGTGATATCGATATGTAACTTTATACTAATAATGTACTACTCCGCCGTCTTTTGTTTACTTACAATATGTTAAGCGGTTTCTTCATCTGCGAAATATATTTTGATAAATAACGTGCATATATCTCTCAGCTATGTATTAAACGGTACTGAGAATGCACCTACAGGGTATTTAATAAAAGAATTGAATTGAATTGAAAAATTTACCAGGGCTGTGGAGTCGGAGTCGTGGAGTTTTGGTGTTTTAGCCGGAGTCGGAGTCCTCAAAAAATCAGCCGACTCCGACTCCTTTTTACTTACCAACTTCTTATGTATATAAAACGGAAAAGTATTGGAATCGTGTCAAATTTGACCCTCCAAGTTTTTTTGCAAATCCACACATTTGGAGACCTCCCGAACCCCTCAAAAAAGTCAATAAAGGGGAAAAATTCGCGCCCGCGTGTGTTGGCGTCTAATTTGTTTAATTTCTTTATTTAAAGTTTAAGAAACGAAATGTGGCACTGTAGCTTGCGTATAAAGGGGCATTAATACTATTAAATTTTGGTTCTTAATTAACCGTAACGAACGTTTTCAACCTGTTCCACAGGCCATTTTCAGGTTTTTAAAAATCATGGAATATTGATAACTGTTTTTTTTTGTACAGACAGTTAAGTACACATTTAAAATACAAAATTCTTTGGAATATTGAGCTATTTGAATCTAAAGAATAAATTACAGGAATATGTGTACAATTTTAAATAACAAAATAATAAAATAGATAAAAATGTTGGTTAAAAGTTGTATTAATAAATAATTCTCAGTGAGATAAGGTGTTTTTGCGTAGGTGTAACATAAAAGCAATTATTCTCACACTTTTACAGGAATTTTTATTTAAATAAGTCATTAGAAATCTTTCGGATGTTAAGTTTAGCAATTCGATCACATGCGGAGCCATCACAACTTGTGTAACACGGATTACTTTTCAAATATTAATAGTAGACCGGTATTAGTTAGTAGTGGTTGACCATCTTTTCTTCCGGGAGCAGGTCAACGATTATTTTTGCTCGAATTACTTCGACTCTCTTCCGCAACGTCCTTCTTTCTATCGGACCAGCGGAATGGTGGCACTGCAATTAGAAATTCCGAAATATGCGGTTACCGGCCTGCACAAATATATGGTTATTATAAATCAGGTTGCCGAGTTTAATTAAATTAATCTCCCTCTCCTCGCGGACGGATTTCGGAAAATCCCTTTTTAGTGTGTATTTTCATGACGTTCCCTGTGTACCAAATATTAGGTTCAGCGTATTGCTTTGGGCGATGATGAGTCAATCAGTCAGTCAGGACATATACTTTTATATACCGTATATTCTGGCCCGAATTTTTACAGTAGAAAAGTTTGGGATATACTCGCCCTATAAGATGACACTCGGCGTATAAGACGACCCCCGACTTTTGAGAAGATTTTCCTGAGTTAAAAAGTCGTCTTACACGCCGGAATATACGGTATATAGATTTACGAAAATAAATTTACAGTGGAATAAAAAATATATTTTTCATTAATAAAAATTTCATTATATTTTTTGATGGGAAGATAATCTGAAAAAAATATATAATTCATATTCTCAATATTGTGGTTAGACGTTAATAAAATATGTCAGTATTTAACAAACCAAAAAAGACCACATAAATATTTAATAAATCTAAATCGGAACTTTTCCTACAGACTTAAAATGAGATTGCGGAAGTCAAAGTACTGTCGTTTATGTGTTTTGAAATTATACTTTGTATTAAATCTTTATGTATTACTCATAATTTGTAGTTTATTGAGATTTATATTACTCAGGTTTCGTCAATTAAAAGGATCGAACGTGAACGGAAGAAAAGCCGATCATAGGGAAAACTTCACCGATAAAAATATAATGGACCGTACAGGGTTTCTCTATCAACATCAACATCGGAACAATATTATATTTAATAAAGAGAAAAGTTTACTGCTGATGTTTTAAGGTCACGTCTGTAAATTTCATTTTAATAATTGTATTTATGAGAAAATAAAGTTATTTTAAACAGGTCGCTGCACTACCACCGAATTTTTGTTCTGTGACAAAACTGAATTTTGTTCTTTTAAATTGAAATACCTAAATAAGGGGGGGGCGAAATTTTCCTCCGCCCCGGGCGGCTGACACGCACGGTACGCCACTGACGCCGAAACATCACAAAAAAACTGCATGATATTGCGGCGGTCGGCAACACTGCGCCCGACCACCGTCCCCAACCGGCGTGACGTCAGAGGTCGAGGTTGACCACTTTTCGACTCTACGTGCTTCGTTTCGGACGTCCGTCTTGAGTGCTCCGACATTTGTCTACATGATCGGCGTTGTTATAACCTTCTGTACATAGAGTTGTAATTATCGGTAAATAAACAAGTAATAACGACATTCGGATCCTTTCTTCAATCCTAGAATATACAACTCGACGCCACAACGATCCTGTTCGTGGATGCGATCGGATTGAGTAATCTAACCGACTTCGACTATCTGGAGGAACCATTAGATTAATGGTCCCCTCAATATTAACAGTACTGGGTTCGATGATATCTTTCTTTCTCTGATATGAAAATGAAGGAGAGTACAGGGGACCTATTCTGAGCTCTTCCGATAACTCAACGAGAGCGATACACGGGTCATTCGAGAAGTCCCTTTAGCGAAAGGCAGTTAACGAACCTTACACAAATTGCTATTCTGAGCTCTACGTTAAGTGGGTTTCGCTACGGGTAGTCGGTCGAGATGCGTCTGGGTTCCACGCTATCGATAGCTATTACGTTTTAACCAATCACAGTTTAGTTAACATAGTATTTTTGTCACGTGACTGCAACCCGCCATTTTCTAAGCGAAGCACGTGCTCATTGCATTGTCCTGTAGCAGCGTTAGTATAGTTGTTTTTACATTTGTTTTAAAATGTCTAAAAAAGCACAACGAAGCCAGCGAACCACAAGTCGCCAGTTTGAGATGCTTGTCAATTTTATGGAAGAACACCCTAAATTAATGTCGGGGAAATTAGATTCTTCGTTTACTGCAAAAGATCGCCAGAAATTGTGGCAAGAAATAGCCGACCGTCTGAATTCCGATGGAGTCGGCTCACAAAAAGATCCGGAAAAATGGCGAAAAGTAAGTGATAGTGATATATTTATATATTCTGCATGTTTAGTGTTTTAAATAATTTACTGAGTCTATTTTGTCAGCCCATCCGTTAATAAGCAAATATTGTTTTTAAAAATTAAAATTTATGTGATAGTCATTTATGTATAGTGTATAGTTTACTGTAAGTTACGTATACAGAATGATTTTTTTTACTAAACTAATGAATTAAAGCCAACATTTAAACTTAGATAAAATCTACAAAATAAAGATTTCTATTATTACATTCTGCTAACATTTTATAATTATACAAAGTATGTCTAAGTTTCTTTGTATATTTCTATGTAATTAATATATTTTTTAGTTCAATCATTAAGAATAAAATGACAAACTTAATTTTTCCA